CCCGGCCCGTGCCCTCCTGGCCACACTGTTCCTGATATAAGCCAGGATGCTGTTGGCCTTCTTGGCCACCTGGGCACACTGCCAGTTGTCAACCAACACCCCCAGGTCCTTTTCCACCAGGCAGCTTTCCAGCCACTCGTCCCCAAGCCTGTAGCATTGCAGGGGGCTGTTGTGACCCAAGCGCAGGACTTGGCACTTGGCCTTGTTGAACAGCTGGCTTCAGCCCATCGATCCAGCCTGTCCAGATCTCTCTGAAGAGCCTTCCTACCCTCAAGCAGATGAACACTCCTGCTCAAATTGGTGTAGTCTGCCAGCTTACTGTGGGTGTACTGATCCCCTCATCCAGATCACTGATAAAGATACTAAATAGAACTGGCCCCAGTACTGAGCCCTGGGGGACACCACTTGTGACCAGCCACCAACGGGGTTTAACACCATTCACCATCATTCTTTGGGCCCATCCACCCAGACAGTTTTTTACCCAGTAAAGAGTGCGCCCATCCCAGCCATGAGCAGCCAGTTTCTCCAGGAGAATGCTGTGGGAAAAGGTGTCAAAGGCTTTACCGAAGTCCAGGTAAACAACATCCACAGCCTTTCCCTTGTCCACTAAGTGGTCACCTTGTCCCAGAAGAAGGTCAGGTTAGTAAGCAAGTTGGGTTCAACAGTGATATCAGTGGGGTCTTTCCATGGTGAGCTTTGATTTAAGATCAAAATGATATAAAGTAGTACCATATGATTTGGAACATATAACTGAACTTGAAAGTCTTGCTTATGCCTACAGGCACCTCCTTTTTGTGCATATGTTCTCTGTATAGCAGGGCATCCTCCAGACAATGGGGAATACCCAACTTTCAGCCAATTTGTCCATGTGTTTTTGTTGTGAAATAAGTCAAGAGGAGAAAAGACAGCAAACTACCCATGCTAAGAGTGAGAACTTACTGGTTTGAACATTTCTGGGTCAGGGAAATATTTTGGATTCCTGTGTAACCAATACGGTGACAACATCAGCATGTCACCTGCAGGGACAGTGAAATTCTGAAAAGGAGAGAAAATTCTAAGAAAAGAGAAAATCACAGGTTCAACACACAAAACAGTCCCTCCTTGGTGCTTCTCTTCCATCAGCAAAAGGTCCTCAGGGAGGACAACTGAAGGTGGTAATGCCATGGTGGGCATATTACACGTTTGAAGCTTCTTGCTGTTGCCAATTTTTTCCATAAGAAAGATCTAACCAGTGGAGAATGTGGAAAGACTATTTTTGTTCTAATAGTTTTTTCAGGTATCGAAATAACAGAACCATTACTTCTGTCTTTCTGCTTCTTGATGTACTATGTGAGCTGGTATTTTTTTTCTAAATGTTTTGTTAAGCACTTCCTTCAATGCCACAAAATTCATAGAAAGCCTTACATGACAGTAGACCTTTATGGGACTTTAGTTATTACTTAAATAGGGATAAACGCCGATTCCTTAAGAGAGTGTTTTTCTCCCCTAAATTTATTTGTTGGGGAGACACTGGCACTTCCCTTCTAAATGGCACTGAAGAGGACAAACGGAAAAGGAGGAGTTTTGTCAGTTACTAAATTGTGGTCTCTTCTACTACATTTGCTGTGTCTGATTACTCTTTCAAATACTGCCAGCACAGTGTCTCCAGCTCAACTCAATTCAGTCTAAAATCAGTTCAAAATTGAAGGTAAGACTGAGCAAGAAAAGCAAAACCACTCTTAAATTATTGATGATGAATAAATCTTAAACAGAAGTGAGATTGTGGAATATCTCTACTGCTTTAATTTTATGCAGATCTTTGGGAGAACCCTTTCCAGGCAAATCATACATCATCCTTTTGGGGAAAAATAAGCCAACCCAAACCTCACCTGAATTCTTATTGGGTTTACTACTTTCTTGGTGATTGCACCTGGAGACCTCAGCCGTATGGCTTCCAAAGTGCACCATTTAATAAACAGGAGCTTCTTAAGATCCTCTTCGGAGACTTCTATTTTATCTTTGCCTGTTGTGGCATGAGAAAGAAGACTGTGTAAAAATTAGATTTCGTACTTGTTTTGATACATGCTGACATGTCTCTTGCTTTAGAACTTTTGAGACAATACCTCAAGACTTTAAGGCCTTGTTTACACGCAGAAATTTTCTTTATATTTCAAAAATAAATAAATGGACCAAAATCAGTACCATTTAAGAAAAGCCACTGACAATAGTTTAATAACTCTAAGGTAGCTGTAGATACAGCATTCAACAGAAGAGGCCAAACAAAGGTCATCTTGGAAGTTAAGAGTTCCTGGACTTTTCCACTACTTTGGTAGGACACTGCATGGAATCTCAGGGACTGTAGGCACCAAGACATGTAGTCAAGGCTGAGCTCTTGGGCTATGTTAACACTAGCAAAAAGAACAGGGCCAGGAAAAAGTTTTAATAACTGGTTTGCGATTATCCTTATTGGCTAATTATCAACGTGTCAACTAAGAGTCTTCCAGGAAAGTCTACGCATTGTTCAGGGAACTACATACGGGAATGTGACTGCTCCCAGTAGGTGACTGTTTTCTGAGGGAAAGACATCAGTCATGTGGGGGTGAATCATGCTAGACAAATTGACCTCAGATGAGAGAAAAGAGAACAATTCCTGGCCTGTTTTTTCCAGAATAGCTTTAACTCTGGTGAACATCACACCATGAAAAGCAGCTGAATTGTAAGACCTCATTTGATCCCATGATGCATGAAAAAGGCGCAAAACTGGTTAATACAAATCTAAATGGTCTAAATGGTAGGTGTGGAATGAAGAGACAAATGTATACGGCTCTTTTGCTAACATCAAAGGTCTCTTTGCTTAAAAATATGTCTTGAGCATATGCTGAGTAAGGAACTTGGAGCTGGACCCGATGTTATCAGCAGTTCCCTAAGCAGTGACATTCATTATCCCCAGCCATTGAGCACTGGCCGTGTGCTGGGCCAACACAGAATAAACCATTTCTTGGTTCCAGAAGGACATGATCAGATTTATTACCTGCTTTGCCAAAAACAGAAGCCAGGTCTTCCATGACCTTCTTGTAAACGGAAGGATAAGAGAGTATGAAAACAAGGGTCCAGAACGCAATCTAAACAGAGATGAGAGTACTTTAACTCAGGAACATGAAACAGAATTGCAGCATCTTTGTAGCAAACCACAGAGGCAGGTGAAAACATGCACTTTTTGGATCTGCCTGTTGTAGTTGGGATGCACAGGGAGCTCTGCTCGCTGGGTAAATCCATATCTAAGGACCCAGATCCTGGGAGATTAGGTCTAGTCATCTGCTGTGTACTTATCTTCAGTGAACAAAGCTTTGGCTTTGAGCTTTGAAGCACAGAATCCTTTCTTTAATTTCAAATAACTCGGTGTTAAAAATGAATTATTAAACCATTGTGTGTGATTAGATTTAGCTGCATGAATGGAAGAACAAATTAAGTAGTAAATTTCTACTAATATTAGCAGAAATTAGGTGAAATAATTTGCAGAGCATTGTCATAGTGAGTCACACTAAAATGGGCAGGAAAAGGTTTAATTAACAGCAAACGAAGCAGTAGTATACCCCCTTTAGAAATAATTTGCTATCTGATTATGCAATGAAGTTGAAAATCAAGAAATTTAGGAAAGGAGAAAATCCTCTTAAGTAGGATGAAACCAGAAGGCCTCGCAGCATTGCCAGGAGTCTCCCTCCTCTTGCTGAGCTCACAGGAGATGCAGTCTGCACGCAGACCTGGTCACGGGCCATCTGTGCTGGTGAGGGCTGAGACCTCGTCCTGTCATTTCCCAAACAGCCCCACACGGATGCAGCCCTCCTTCTGCGAAACAAATCTGGCAGCTAAGTTTTCTCGCACGTCGCTTGGACACTGTGGCCTCACTCCATGGGCTGAGGAGGGATAACTGAATTGTTTCAGATAAAAGGGTTTAACACGCTTGTAAAGAATCCCTTTGGAAGGTGAGAGGCATTTTTTCGTCATTCCAGTCACCAGAACTGTGGTTGTGACTATTCTGAGAAAGAGGAAAATATCTGTATGTCTATTTACAGCTGAATATTACAGAAGTAAGTAATGAGAGTGTTGTGGAAGGAATGTCAGTTATCCTGATAACGGACAGCAGGCTTTGCCTCTCACTTAGACCAACACACGAATCCACAGAAACCTCACTGAAATGGAGGAGGTTCCTTTCTGTTAAACTTAGTAATATCCAATCTACAAAAACCATAATACATCCATCAGGAGTACATGTAAAAATAACTCACCATCAGGTTTTTTTCTAAATCACGTCTGTAACGGATGTAACTGCTGGAACGGGCTTACTAGTCATGGCAAATACAGGATGTTTTTGCTGCTATGGATTTTTCATCTGAGAAATTCCTATCAAATGCCTTTGGTCAGCCTAAGCTGTGTTAGAGAGATCGGGCTTGTTAGCATACATATATCTGTCAAATCCGTTTCTAACACAGACAAAACGTGAGTGGCAGTAGAATCAGACTGCTGCTTTTCTTCCCCTGAAGCAACATTCGTACAGTGGCTCCCTCAAAGGAAAAGAGCCAAATTCACCCAAGGGTTTACACGCAGATGGAGTTACTCTGCGTTATGCTTCTGATAGTCCTTACAGTTCGTAACACCAGGCTGTTTAAAATAGGGTCTCTATAATAATACAGCCACAGCCCTTCGAAATAGAGTTCAGTGCTCTTCACAGCTCAAGACTGTGATCTTAATAGCTGTGAGACATACGCTCCCGAAATCTTGTGATAGAGGCATAATAATTCAGGAAAAACACAAGGAGAGCTTTTCCTGTCATTGCTTCTGTGACACTGCAGCCTGGGGATATTTGTGGGGATGCGTGTGGGCGCAATAATCCCTGCTTTGGGATACCTGCAGTGTGTGTGACCTCTGGTTCAAAGCCTTCGCTTCCCAAATACAGCCTTTTGAACAGGACAGAGAGAAAGTGATGTACTTACAGGGACAGAATTTGCTTGGGAAGCCCAGAGCATCAGGAGGCCATAATTGGGAGCTAGATGTTTCCCTTCCAAGTTATCCAGGAGATGTTGCAGTAGTGTCTGTTAAAAATAAACGATAATAATGTGTATTTCCAAAAATATATTAAAATATAGTTTAGGGTAGGGCTTACTAGAATGGGAACAGGTTGCCCAGAGAAGCTGTGGATGTCCTATCCCTGGAAGTGTTCAAGGCCAGGCTGGATGAGGCTTGGAGCAACCTGGTCTAGTGGAAGGTGTCCCTGCCCATGGCAGGGGGGTTGGAACTAGATGATATTTAAGGTCCCTTCCAACCCAAACCATTCTATGATTCTGTGATTCTATGAATTCAAGGGTATAACTAAGACTAGTTTATCAAGAGAACTAATGTTAGTTGTGGTTTTTTGCAGTCACAAAGTAGGGACAACAGATGTTAAGAGAAAGAGAGACTCACTCATAGGCAGAGGGCCAGAAGTCAATGTACCATGTGAATCCCTACTGAAAACTTGCACTGCTCCCCATTTTCTTCAAGTTCTTAGGGGCTTTGGTTCCCTCATGCTTCATTGTTGCTTGTATGTGGGAAAAAGATATCTCTATTATTTTTTTATTCCTGCTCTACTTCTCTACTTTAAATAACCTGAAAATTGGACTCGACATGTTGAATGGAAATGGAGAAAGTGTTCTCTTTGTTCCTGCATAGAAGATGTTTGTCACAAAGACACAGTCTGATACATCAGTGAGCTCTCTAATTCCAGATGTTTTGTTAGTGACTCAACCAATGTATTCAATCACATAATCATGGAATGGTTTGGGTTGGAAGGGAC